CGTCAACCTTGAGGGTTTGCTTTTAGCCAAATTATAAAATGAAAGAAAACTAATTCAGATAAGGCATGATGTCAGGTAATAGGGAGACTAACTGCAAGAGGAACAATATCTTGCCACAAACATCCCAAAGTATTTAAGGCAATTAGCATTTACTTACAAAAGTTTTTTTTAATATGTTATACACATAAACAAATCTGATAGTCTGTCTAAGCAGTCCGTTTGGTGACATGGACTGTAGTTGGGGAGGAAAGAAACACTGAGAAAAGGCAGGTCCATTTTGTTTTCTTTTTGTACCTCCAGTCAATTGAAAAGGGTAAGAACAACACAGAGTCCATCTACGAGGAACTGCATTTAGTGCTCTGAAATCAAAATGGCAGCTACTGCTATTGGCAGATAGTGTCCCACACCAGTGGCCAATGTGGTGATTTTGAGGGCAGTGTTTAGGCTGTGGCTGTCTCATGCTCGTATTCTGAAATACACAGCCAAACAGAGCAACAGAAATGATCTGTCGCTGCCTCCCAGCCATCAACTATAACAACAGTTGTAACACTCAGATCCAACTTGGATCAACAGTGCAGGATAAGCTCTTAGATGAACTAAGGAAAAAAATCCTGGTCAATTCATAAAATAGGTAGAATAGTTTCACTTTTGTCTGGTTTCTAAAGAGACAACCAAAATAATAACATTCAAATGACCAGATGGCAACCTCTGCACATCCCATCAAAGCAGCAGCAAAAAATCTACCCACATTACATTCAGTGATTCCATGCCCTACTTTTGTTGCGCTGTTCCCCCCCCCCCCCGACCCCACCACTCCTAGCATCAAGTTCTGGCTTTAGCATTAATGGTGCTGGCTGCTCAAGCTGCGGCATGCCTTGGTCCACTCATCTAAACCTCCCACTGCTGCTCCTCCCATTTCCGTGCATTAGCAATTTTAATTGTGGAAATAATAGGCATGATCCAGACAAATCTGAACCTTTTACAATCCTACCTATATCAGTAGGAAAGAGTTTGTATTCCACTCTCTGCCACTGAAATCAATTCAACTTAAAATAGGCAACTTATCTTGGATTAGTCCCTATCGATAGATCTTACATATCCTATCAAACATTAACCCCACACAAAAGACAACAGTGTTATTATTTGACAGCACAGATAATACTGATTTGGATAATGCTAATTGCTCAGCTTCTTAATAGCACGCTTCTCTACAGCTCCCTAAAGCTGAGTCTATTCATAGCCACAACTACTCTTAAACTGTTTATCATTAAGTAGCTGCAACACTATGATGATCTGTAGAAGGAACGCGACTGACCCATCTTTAACAAACAATATGGTGTTGGCTGCACAGCCAGAACCAGATGAAGACATTTTACTGTTTGAGTCAAAAGACAGCAGATCTCCTTAGCACCAACAAAGATGTCCTTTACGTTTGTACATGTTTAACCTGAATAGAAGCCCACAATTGGCTGGGCTGCAGCTAACCACGCTAACAAAAATGGATTGCAAAGAACTCGAGAAGGATCTTTCTAAAAGAATGTATATTAAAATGGCAAATGCACAGCAATGTAAGCAAGTGACACATGTTGGGGCAAGAATTTCCAACTTAACACGAACTGTACGCTGATCAGATGTGAACTGGGGCAGTGCTGGGTTGAGCAGGCTGCAGCCCAAGGACACATGAGCTAGAGAGGACTTGGCCTCCTGCCATTTTTTTAAAAAAATATCATTAATTTTATTTCATTGGTAATGATAAAAATCAGGGGCACACCTAGGCAAAATACCATTTTCCAGATTAAAAAAGGTCAAGCATGATCAATGGTCAACAATGTCTCAGAATCAGTTGTCTGATCTTAGCGTTCTTTGCACAGAAAATGATAAACTGTGACTTACTGATTTTAATGATATAATTGTCATTAAATATAAGTCTGATATAATATAAGTCTGAAAATGTTCTGACTTTGTATATAATGTAATGTTATAACATGGCTATGATTCCCCTGTGGATGTTCTGTGTGAACATCTTCATTAATTCCATACTTTTGTGAACTTATTAAAGGTTACAAACATATAAACTATCTTTTAATCAATGCTAAAATTCCAGCAATTTTCTACTTTCATTGAGTAGATAAAGAAGAGCATTAGGCTTTGTTTCTCATGATCAGATGCTATTAGGTGTGGCCTCCCAACGTCTCCTAATCCATGACTCCCAGTGTCTTTAATTAATTAATCTTTAAAGATTAATCAGTCTTTAATCCAGGACTGACCAAAGGTATAACCAAGCAAGAGGTCTTGGCATTGTGATGGACCCTTCAATGAAAATGAAATGTCATTGCTATGAAAAAAATGCTATATTGGGCATCATTAGGAAAGGAATCAAAAATTAAACAACTAGTGCCTTACTGCCTCTGCAGAATCTATAATGAAACTACACTTAGAATATTAGAAAGTTCTGTCACCACCACACTTTGGAAAGGTAACAACCAAAACAATCAAGGGGTTGACCCAACTTCCCTGTCAGAAGGTAAACTACAATTCGGTTACTGGTCTGCTTTGCTTTTATATATAGAACGAGGAAGCCCCCCTTCCTCTCGGGTAGCAAAACAACTTGAACCAGCCTTGACACTGAGTAAAGTCTCTTTAACAAGGCCTTTGGCATGGGCTGAGGGCAGCTTTGGTTTTCCTGTTGCAGGAACATAGGGTAGGGTTGTTCCCACCCTTCCCTTTTGATCCACTGCTGGTTTGAGAAAGGGAGCTTAAATGGGTGTTTTATTTCCTCTTTTATGCTGCTATTCCTGTTTTTATTATTGTTTTTATATTTCTGTTTTTGATGTAATTATGACTGTATTCTGCTCATACAATTTAATTTTGTAGTACAGTAGTCAGCAATCTGGTTTCTTTCAGAGATAAGCAGGTTTTAATTTTTCTTACAATATTGCTATCTGTTACTACTAATAATAACAACAGAATGCTAAGAGAACAGATGTGGGGCAGCAACAGGAAATATCTTTGCAGAAAAATTCTCAGTGTTCTTCACCCTTTCCTAAGTCTCTGGTGTTCAGCAAGGGGAAAGTGCAATCCACCCAATTTATGGCAGCACGGAGTCTGACAGCTGTCAAAAGAAAGGGTCTCTTTTAAAACAGGGATTTTCATAAGGCTAAACAGAGTTTTCTGACAAGAAATACGCGTGCATGAAATATGCATATTTCCCTGTAAAAACACCTTGTCTGGTCCTGTGAAAAGCCACGTTTTAAAATAAATGCTTTCTTTTGATAGCTGTCAAAACACCTATCTAGGGTGACATTTTTCCCATTTCCCAAGCACCTAAAGTGACCCAAAGAGATCCAAACTACTGAACCACTCCCAAATTTAAAAAAAGGAAAAAGAACATTGTGCGCGTTTCTGAAGTCTAAAAATAAAAGTGGTAAACAACTTTTACTTCCAAACATTCCAGTGTGCAGTTTGGTCACTTTGTCACTGGTGGAGATAGTGAAAAGTATGTGAAAGGGAAAAAAGGAACATGCTGTGGCATCAACCAAAAGGTGCTATGAATGGAGCAGGGATGGGTGACAAAGGTGACTTCCACTGCCAAGGCCCCTAGAACACTAGATGGACACCTAAAGGGGAAGGAGTGAGGACAAAACCCCTGGTGAACCCAATTGTCCACCAGGCACAACTTATTCACAGGATAATCTGCCACATTGTGTGAACTCACTCATGGAGAACCCGATGGACAACAAGAACCATGACAAAACTGAAAGGCCTGGGTGGTAACAAGAATGGGAGGAAAGATCTCAGAGCAATGCCTCAGCTCACCTTGGACTGTATCCAGTGGTAACCTTAAGGCACCAGGAGGCACTGCTGCTTGCAAGGTACAGGATGCTTAGCTCTTGCTGATCTCCCTGCTACCCCCCACCTACTGCATATTCCATACAGTTCTGAATCAGGTTTTCAGAGGACACAGGTGGGGCTGCAACAGGTAGGGGGCAATTGCTAAAAATGGGTTTAGGCTTCTGCTAATGCACAGCCATCATTGGAGGTAATCTACCAAAGAAATGGTGATCCTGAGTTGTTTCCAGCACCTATTTCTATGAGCTGTGGGTATGTTTTGGCTGCGGTGAGGTCTCAAAGGATGTCCCTGATGCTGGAGGTATTTCATCTCATTGAGATAGTTCTTTATGTGCCCTCCTACCAACCTAACCTAATGGGTGGTGATTAATATCCTGTGTTTATGTTATGTTAGCTAGTCATTCTATGCCTTCTTTGGCCAGGGTAAATAAATGGGTATTTCTGATTTTTGCAAGAGCATCATTTGCTATCTCTCCAAATAAACTCTACTTGTCAAGTGAAAGCAATATGTGCGTGCATGTGGATTGATTGTATTGTATTGACTTATCATAGGCTGGCAAGTTTGTGTTTGCATCTCCTTTGCTTTTCCTCTCAGTTATCTGATGTTTAAACAGATATTCTTTCTTGACATGGATTGTGTGAAGTGATTTCTGACCAAAACTGAGGGGAGAGAGTATTCTTTTCTCTCATCCCCACTACTTGTGGCCTAGAATATCTGGGCCACATTTCTTCCCAAGGGTTTAATAACTCCCAAGAACATGACAGAGTTATTACAATAACTACCCTACAAACAAAAGATGACTTTGGTATGGATATCCATATTCCTTAGAGGCCACTGACTTATGCCCAGATTTTGATATACTTAGATCCAATATTACTACACTTACAGGGCTCATCAGTACATTTTCAAGCTCTGGTGTCACACAAAATTCCACAGTGTCTTCTAAAAAAGAGTATACTTTGGCAAATTTCATTTCAGAAGAGCAATATAATTTCCATTGGCATAGTATTTCTTGTTTTGTGACACTGCTTGGATAATTAGCAACACTTGAACTTCAGCTTGTTATGCACTTTATGTTCTCCATAATCCAGTCATAATTATCCAGAAATGTGCTGCTTCTCTTATTACTAATTGCAGTGGATTGTCCTACCTGGAGAGGGACATCTGGTTCCATTTCAATGCCTGGAATTTTCTCACTCCACAAAGTAAATTTTTTCGTATCAGGGTCAATGTAGTAATCAAAAACTGTCCCTTGGGAAGGAAATTTTATTGTCCTCATTTCTTTGATCCACCATCTACTAAACTCCATGCGATAATCAATTAGCTGGGAAACA